AAAAAAAAAAAAAAAAAGGACAGAGATGGAGATGGTCACAAGAATCAAGTCACACGAATGGAAAGTATATTAAATGGCGAATGCTACCTAGTGACACAAGAACAGGTGTCCTGCAACAAGGACAAAATGGACAGTCTTTTTGTCAAGTCTATTTTTGTCTTTGTAATGAAACCTGAAAATGTCTTCTGGCCTCCATACCATGGTAGCCTAATAATCACAGTGAAGGATCTTAAGGATCACAGTTTTGTTTTCTTTGTTGTGGCCTAAGCATTTGCTCCAGATGTTTCCTAGGAGCTGATTTACACGGTACTAAATTACCACTGACGGGTGCTGAGGTAGTAAAGTTACATTTTCAAATTCCACACATAGTGGCTTTAAAGTTAAAGAAACTTACCCCTGCTGATGGACTCATTGTGCTGCTTGTATTACTCTTCTCTTCTACCAGATATCCCTCAATCCGTGACTCTGACCAAATCAAATAAAGATAGTAAGTGTCCTTGAAAACACAAGTTTCCATATAGTACGTTAAGTAACGTTAGTGTTGCTGTAGTTCTTTTTTATGGTTAATATTCAAACTTTAGCTTAAAAATGAACTAATGTTATATTTGGAAAATGGGAACAATAAAACAATTGAATTGTCTTTAGCTACTTGTGCAAAGGAAGGGCACTTCTTCCACTTCCCAACAAGACAAGAGTTAGTAAATTTACAAAACAATTTAACTAGCTAATCAATTGATTCCATTAAATACCAAAATTAAAAGGTTTCACATTGTAAAATTAACAACCAACTTAAGTAAAGTAAAGTAATTTAAGTAAATGAATGATGGTTGGCTCTTGAGTTCTCTATCTGCCAGTAAAGCTCTGGCAGCCAAATCTGTTTGTCTGGATTTAAGTTTTCTTGACGACACACCCCTCTAAACTACAGACCATCACATAGAAATAAAACAGCTGAAGAAAACATGTTTTCTTACCGTTAATGTGTGAATTAAGTTGAATTATCTTCTGCAGGTTCATGAAGTCAGAGAGGTTCCAAAGATACACCCATGCTCTCCGTGGTAACCAAGGCTGAATCCAGTTCAAAAGGTTCCAATTCCAAAATGTTTCCAAAATAAACACCATGCACTAAATTTGTTTGAATCTGAAACTGTGCACCGAGCAAAGCTTTAAGCCACAGTAATGAATACATTTAAAAACAAAGCCAGGATCATTATGGGAATTTGTCACTTTATGCAGCTGTGTAAATACATGCATGCATTGACTGACAATTCCCCACTTTTATTATTAAATTATTAGTGATCTTATTTCAGTTACCTGAAGTAGTCACATGTGTGCAAAAGGATTCTACAATAGTGTGCTGACACGCTAATGTTAGCAACATACTAAGCAGGGGACACCAAACTGTTTTTAATTTTCTCTCCTTTCTCTTCAGTGGAATCCATTTATCTCCATTTGTGGTGATTTTGAAGGTGAATTTTTTGATAAACTGAAGGTAAACATGTGTTCCTTTATAGGTTGAGAAAATTCTCCTACTTCTGAAGCTAAATAAGCCATTCATAGGCCCTCTTGAATTAAAATTAGACGAGATATGTGGTTCTCAAAAAAGCGAACTATTCAGTCAGATAGTGATTTATTATGTATGTAATGCAATCAAGATTTCACGCTATTTCAAGGACTTTATACAAAATCTAAGCATTTTTCAGACCTTAAACACACCACATGAAAATTCAAGTGTTGTCAAGGATTTGCAGCACATGTACGAACCCAGTAAAATACTCACACAGAGTTGAAGAGGTAGGCTCGTCCCTGGCTGCCTTGGAAAGACTACGGGACATGGAGATAAAATAAAATCAGAGGAAAAGAAAAAGCCACGAGCCCATTTGATATGTGGATCAAACACAACAAATCAATGATACATTTCCCAGCTTCGCTAAAAATCACGTCAGTCCAGTTTTTCCGGTTTAGCTGCTTTCTAAACAATGCAAGAGCCATGAAGTTGTGTTCAGAGCCACCTGAGATGACTAACAACAACAAAGCTCACCTTGGAGATAAGATCGTCATGGTTGGCCAGGTGGGCGCGGCAGTGCACACAGCTGTAGCGACGGTGGCAGGAGTCCAGGTAAGCCTGGAACGTCTTGGCCTTTGTCAGCTTCACCATGGCTGAGGAGGAAGAGGGTAGGAGGAAGCAGAATTGTAGTATGTCGTTTTGCATGTTAGTGGTGCAGGAATACGTGCTCCTAAGACTCACTGTTTAACCATACATGTGAACTGAGGACTTTCATTTTGAGTACGTTCACCTACAGCAATGAGGAAGTTGAAGACATTAGGCACAGGCAGGTTTGCCTTTGGCTTTTAACGTCATTGCATGAAAGCAATAAAACAATGTAAGGCAGACCTGACCTGAGTGCTAATAAACTCATTCTGTTAACCAGTCAGACACTATTCAGCATGACAATCAGTATTTCAGACAATAATTTGCAGCTTTCCAGATCACGTTCAGTCTTTTGTCTTTTGCACACAATTATGGGAAGTGAATATCAAGTGACTCTAAGACATAATAAGACAAAACTCTGGGCTCAGCTAGCTTAGGTTTAACACTTTATTGACCAAGATGGTGGATTAAAAACTACAAAGCCCACGTTTTTCCATGTTCCTGGTAGGAATGTGCTTTGATTGACTGGGACAGATTAATCCAACCACACTGTGAATGACTGAATAGCAGCCCTAGTAAACATTATGCTGTTATCATGCATCTTCTTACAGTCCACACTGTGCAGAGGCTGACCTATAGTGGAGGAAACACTTGACAAGGCGTGTATAGTGATAAATGAGCACAATTAGTTGAGACTAATGTTGACAGACGGGCTGGGACTCAGTTTACCAGGACGCTTGTTTCCTGGTTCATAATAGTTTGCACAAACAATCCCCGCTGCTATCAGTTAACCCAAACTCAAGCCCCTGCAACGTGTGCTGTGCCCTGTATGTCCTGTCCAACACTGCTGTCCGCCTGTCAGTCGGTCAGTATACCACACATGTCCACAGAAGGGCCTGAGACATCTGTCCGCTCCGACAGACACTGGACACCAGCGTGTTGGCTAGCTGGTTAGCTTCACTGTGACAACATAGGGCAGCGAGCAGCAGATGCGCATTGCAGGATATTCCGCGGCGGTCTGCGGCTCTCACCTGATAACACTGAAGCTCCTCACAGTCTGCACGGCGGACACAAGGTGGCTGACAGCGGGTTCACAGCAGCGGTAGGTGGTCGGCAGGTCGGCTCCGTCCAACTGTCGACCACGCGTTGACAACAAAGACAAACACAGACAGCCTCCGGTCTGTCGGTCGGTCCGTCCGTCCGTCGGTCGGTCGGTCGCTGCAGCCCGTTTACCCGCGTCCCGGGCTTGAATCCGAACCAGCTTCCAAAGTTCCTCCACGGCCTTCGCTGAAACAGGAGCAGGAATCCGACAGTGCTGGCAGGCTGACAGGAGGACCGTGCGGCGGGCCCGGCGGGAGAAACAACTGTGGTTTGTTTATGAAAACACGCAGAGGAGGAAGTCTGAAGAGTGCAAAACAAATCCCTGTCGGCCAATGGGAGCCGGCGGGTGACGTTCAGAATGTGGGTCAACCAATCAGAGTGGACTTCACAGGAGCCTTTTATGGCTATCAGTGGGAGATTTGGTACAGTCTTATGAGTGCTGTTAGTGGTTATCAGGTCCTGCTGCTGGGTTTGGGATAAAGTCCTTCACACTGGTTGCAAACGATTTCTGGATTTCTTTGCAGTATTGACTCGAGGCTATGTGTGTGTGTGTGTGT